GCTGCTGATTTATCTCATGCTGCTGCTGATTTATCTCATGCTGCTACTGATTTATCTCATGCCGCTGCTGATTTATCTCATGCTGCTGCTGATTTATCTCATGCTGCTGTGTTCATTCCTCCTCATCTGCTCACACAGACTCATGTTCGTGCTGCTGATGTTCGGCGTATTGTTTTTATGCACGGTGACCCCTCGCTGTAACGCGGTTCATCTTTCACGTCTCGCTGCTTCACAGATTTGCATCGTACTTTGTGTTCTGCATTCTGATTGGCTAAACAGTCTCTCCAGTACAGTAGTTATTTGTAAAAAACATTTACACCGTACTTTCATTTGTTAAACAAACGCTTGGGCCTGTAAAAAGGTTTTGTTCTTTGGTTTGAATGTATTGTGAAGTATTTCATTGTATAATAATAGTAAAAAAATCCAGGTTACTACTTCACGGGTTCTTTTTGAAACGTAACCCCCGTGAAAAACGAGGGTTCACTGTACTAGTACTTAGTGTATTCTTAATTTAGTGTATTTCTTAGTTCATATCTTAGATCTTATTACTGTTTTTGTTTTACATTTTATTGTGGGATGTAACTGGGACAGTGTGAACACAGTTTCATTCCACCACATGTACCACACGTGGTGGAATGAAATAAAGAACCTGGACTTACCAGACGGGGAGTAGAGATTGTAGCAGCTCAGCTCAGAATCCAAACTACGCAATACAAACACTACTGGTTCCCCTTCAGAACCCATTCACCATCGGAACCAATTCTGTTGCCAGATGTGCGGTTCTGTTGCCAGGCGGGGCGCCCTCCTTGGAAAACGTTAGACACTGTGAGGTTTTCAGTCGGTCTTCTTCTTCTAACGTGTTCTGAAGTGAAGCAGGAAGTCTTTGTTCTGCCTCCAGATCAATCAGCTGTTACTCATGTGATCATTATGGCGTTTTACACCCAGTCCCACCTGGAGACTCAGCACACCTGTCAGGTGTCTTTAAATAAGCTAGGCTGCCCGGGGGTGGGGGGTTTGTTGGTAGAAATGGGGTGTCTTCGCTCGTTTTGGTTCTGGTGCTCTAATTTGTTCGGAGTCGAGCAGCCAGAGTCTGTCACAACAGCAGAGGGTGAAAATAATTACAAAAAACAATTAGTGCGGCGGAGGAGGCCATGTGGGACACCACGGGTGAGGGTGGGGGTCCCAGTGGGACGATTCACAGCAACGCACAGAGCGACATGTGTGTAGGAGTCGACACACACACTGAGCCAGGAGACCTGGATCGTTAGAGCCGAGGCCGCCGCAGGAAGTCGTCCATATTCATGTCTGCCTCGCGGCCATCACTCCAGTTCTTCTGGTTCTCAGGAGTTCTCCAGACCGAAGCTTCACGTCACACCATCCTGCAGCTAAACCCACCTTCAGAGACCTCCTCCAAACATGTGGAGCAGAACATCTGGATCTGCTGCCGACGTCCAGAACCCGTCCAGCATCAACCAACACACCTGGACGACTTTATCCATGGAACAATTAACGTCCTGCAAAACCAGCGTTTACGAGTTGTTGTTGTTGTTGTTGTTGTTGTTGTTGCTGTTGTTGTTGTTGTCGCTGCTGCTGTTGTTGTTGTTGTTGTTGTTGTTGTTGTTGTTGTTGTTGTTGTTGTCGTCGCTGCTGCTGTTGTTGTTGTTGTTGCTGTTGTTGTTGTTGTCGCTGCTGTTGTTGTTGTTGTTGCTGTTGTTGCTGTTGTCGCTGCTGCTGTTGTTGTTGCTGTTGTTGTTGCTGTTGTTGTTGTTGTTGTTGTTGTTGTTGTTGTTGTTG